TGTCGTATTTTTTCGATTTCAGAGGTGTGGCTTGTGGATTTTTCGATATTGAGGTCACGAGTATGACAGTATTTTTTCTTTCTCTCAGGTCCCAGCTTTGCCGTGGACACCGCATGTTCCAGCAGTCTGCTGGCTCTTCAACTGGCGGTCGACGCCATCAGGCAGAACCACTGCGATGCGGCTTTGGTCGCCGGCACTCACTTGACGCTAACGCCAACAACCACTCTGCAGTTCATGCGTTTAGGTTTATTGTCGTCTCAAGGAATGTGCCGCTCATTTGACTCAAGCGGTAAGTCCGATGGTTTGTTGTTGTACTTCACGGCATTCTATGTTACAAGCCGTTGCTTACTTTGAGTGATTCCTGTTGAGTGTTACCAGCGTTTGTGGATGCGCGTTTTACTTTTAAAAAAAACCGTGGCAAAGATGATTGTACGTCTTCTGATTCCATGATTAACAGCGCTAACTATAAAAAAGTTTTTACTCAGCTGGCTCCTTTCATCGTCAGGGAATGCGCAATAAGATATATTTCACTGATAAACGAAAAATGATCCGTTCAAAACGTCTTTCTCTCTATCGACGATGGAATCAGAAGATGTATCTGCTTTCTTATCCGTTTCTTGTTAGTACGATTCCTTTTATTTGCGTTTACACCTTATACGGATTTTTGTTTTGCTGTAAGGTGGGTTAAAGAAAATTGCAATCGGCAGCACATGCATCAGGCCGTATACTCTGCACCTCGTCCATTCTGGTATAACCATACCAAAGCACCATGCTATTTCTGTTATTCAGAGTTAAGCGATCTGTTACCCATTTTTTGACTAGTTGCATCAAAGCACAATGGGTTGAATTTCAGATTAACAGTGAATAAAAGGAAATTCACCCAGTGCGTCACCTTTAAGAAGAAAAGCAAACTATTAACCCATTGTGCCACTGCTCCTGTTTCCTCATTAGTTTTGCCATTTCGGACTGCTTGCAGCGGTAGTTTTCGTCGACAGGAGCAAGACAGTTCACTTTCGCTTTTTTCTAAAAATCGGCTTTCTGGAAAATGCATCTTGCCATAGGACTGGCATACTACATACTAAGTAATGTCTCTAAGCTTAGAGTTTTTAAACGCTATCTGCAGGTTTGTATAATCACTTGTTGCTTTCCTACTTAAGCTAGTCTAATAGACGTTCGGTATTATTCTGTCATGGTTAAGTACTGAAAAATTTTATAACTTTATTTATTCGTTGTTGATAATAGGCCATGTCTAATGGATATAAACGATTATTACAGCATGCTGCACATAAAAAATGTCATCCTCTGTTAACAGAGGTAGAAAGGCATGATATAAAATCTGACCAACATTATTGCCCTGGATTACTACCAACATGATTTTACCATCCTAGTATGAATAAAGTGCTTCCCTCTCCGGTTCTTGATCTGGATTGCCCGTTCTTCTAGTATTGCAGTGGTTCAACCTTTCAGACACCACTTTTCATCTTAGCTACTCTGAGGTCAGCATCTCTCATTTAGGCGATAAACAGCGTTGCGAGTATATGTCACCATGCTATCGTCCCAATTTCATAAGGACGATGTTCCTTTCTTTTTCTTCTCCTATACCCTGATGAGATGGAGAATCTTAGGGTAAAAAACGAACTGTTGTGTTGCCATTGGTCGTTAGCGCAAAGGTCACGATGCAGACATTGCGCGTTTGTTGTTTCCGCTCCTTTTCCCAAATTCCTCCGAAAACACGAATAGGGTATCTGCTTAATTCAAACTTTTATCGATTGAAAATCCATAGTGATCGGAGAATATCACACACACTTGACAAGTAGGGTGGTGAAACTATCTTAGACGATGGTTGAAGTTGGTACTTTCATGTTGACGCCTGCAATTGACTCAGACCAATAGAATTTCTATAAAATTAGTTGACTTTGCATCACAACTCATACTTGCATGCTAAAATAAATGTTTATTCAAACATTGAATGGGTGAGCAGGAGCGACTGTACGTACGACTAACAGATGAATTAAACTTTTGTGATGATAACCGTCATAGTCAGCAGTTTGTCACATACGTAGATCGACCACTGCGTGAACGATGGAACATTCCTGAAAACTTGTTTTAAAGTGACCATTAAAATTGCTTTTATGCTCTAAACACTGCAGAGAAGTTGACATATCGAAGAATTAAACACTTTAGGTTATCGAAAACTCATACCGGTCACATGCTGCCTTTTTTTCAAAATGCACTTTTCTGATCTGCACAGCGGATAATTTCAAACGGTAAATCATTTTTGTTGAAATAAAGACCCAAATGCTCGGTCGCCTGTTGAGTCTATAGCGGAAATCGCTAAACTTTAGCAGTACAGTTAATTCTTTGCCAGCACTCATATTCTTTCTCGATCTTCACTGGTTTGTGCCCTTACAGCCCTATGGCGTAGGGAGAACGTCAGAGCGTTGGCGTCAGCTGCCACTTACGCTAAAGTTATAACATGAAGTGATGAATCGCAATATTGAATGTATTGTGATAATTATAATATTCTTTTACAGGTGACGGTTATGCACGCAGCGAAGGAGTGCTTTGCATCTTCCTTCAAAAGTCATCCGTTGCTCGTCGTTGTTACGCCACCGTCATTCATGCAAAGAGTAACACAGATGGATATAAAGAACAAGGTAAATCATGTTTTTTCACAATGAAAAATTATGTAAACTTTGTTGTATCTAAAGATTGAATGTTTCGTTTGTGTGTTGATGACGATACTGAAAACTCTATAAAAACATGGTTCATTCATAGAAAACGCAGAGAAATTGGTCATTCAATTAATTAACCGGTACTGACGTTTCGGATCTTCTCTCATGCTCCAGGTGGACAGGGTTGATCTGAGAAAACCATAGAAATAATTTCAAAAATCAACCCTGTCTGTCTTGTAGAAGACCCGTGAGACACAGCCGAAACGTCGGTACTGGTTAATTACCCAAGTGAAAAATTTCTTTGTGTTGTTTATGAATAAATTGTTTTCGTACAGCTTTCAATTTTGCTGTATATTTTTTTCACTCATTTTAGTACCTGAGCTCTAAAATGATTCGAAGCTTAATTAGCATGATTCAAGCATGCGCACAAGTGTATCAAATGAACAGAATTTTTTATCTGATTGCATAAATAAACGACCGAAGAAAAGTACTTGCATTTCATTGCCGACATTCTCTATCACAAGATTACAATGGTATGAATAGTGTTGCTATTGCTATAAATTTCGGTCTGTACTTAAAGATTTCTCTTTATTTCTCTGCATGTTTCTGAAGGTTATTCAAAAATAAGCATAGTTTTATTAAGTACGTTGAGAAGTGAATTCGGTGAAAACCGTTGTATTTCATAGTTTGTTGTTCTTGCTTCACTAAACCTTAATATTTTCAGGCATTACTTTTCCGTCTGGTGACAGACAAGCACAACTTCTGAGGGAAGTGTACCGCGAAGCGGGCGTTGACCCATCGCAGGTAGTGTATATAGAAACGCATGGAACCGGAACGAAAGTTGGCGATCCCCAAGAAGCGAATGCGATTTGTGACGTTTATTGCAATGCCCGCGATACCCCGCTGCTGATCGGCTCCGTAAAGTCTAACATGGGCCATGCAGAGCCCGCCAGTGGCTTAGCAGCCGTAGCTAAAGTACTTTTACTTGATTTTGTTGTGTGTGTCGTATGTGTAACGTTCAATGTATTCTTGCAGTTATGATAACTTTTTTATAAGCCAGCAAGTTTATGAGTTTACATAACAAACATTTATTTGACGCAG